GGGCGGTGAGCGGAGTTACGGCCGCGCTCAGGAGAAAGGGCGGGGACCGGTGACCTCGGGCCAGGGCTGGCCCAGCAGCCAGAGCGCCAGTGGACTCGCCTGGCTGCTGCCCTGCCTCCCTGTGAGGGCCACAGTTGTCACTTCCGCTTTACTAAAACCAGCCCTTAAGGGTTATGAGCTGCCGGAACGACGTGTGGCCCGCCCACCTGTGGACAGGTAGTGATGTGGGAAGGGACGGACGGGGCCGTGGAAACGGAGCTGAAGTATGAGTTTATTCTGGTGCAAAAGCCCCTCTGAAACCCACACGCAGTTTTTTGTAAATGAAAACTGCACAGAGCCCGAAGGCATTTTTTTTCTCTCCACCAAAATAAACTTGTAGCAACTTGTAATGCATCTGAGCAGGACTCGGAGGGCAAGACGTCGTTCAAAATGAGCCCGTCAGAGCTACACGGACCCTGCTAAAATCATGCAAGAACAGACATCAGGTTTGGGTGAGGCCTGGGTGGGAGAATCGTGAAATCACAGATGCTTTACGGAAGGTTATGGGGACAGGGCCCTCCGAAGCAGCATTTACAGGTGGCAGATCTGTTTTAAGCCAGCAGGTGGCATGGCAGTTAAGGCACTCAGCTCTCATGTGGCTGACCATGGTTTGCGTCCCAGACCCAGCAGCTCGAAAACCACCCAGGGCACATGTGCCCAAAATCCTGAGAGGACAATGGAGGAGAAGGGATAGCAGTGTGGCCATCCCCTGAGAGGTGAGTTCTCACTTCCCTCTCACTGTCTCTCTCTGATTCTCCCTGGTGAGTGCACACGCCCGAGGGCAGAAACCTAATAACAAACAAGGAACAACACGCTGAAGATGGCGCCTGCAGCATGGGCCACCCAGTCTGCGAGGAGGGAATGGGCCTGTGTGTCGTCGTGGGCAGGGCTGCGTGAAGGTGGGACAGACGCCGCAGACACCGGCTGTTCAGCTCACCCCAGGGGCAGCTTTCTGCTCAGTAAGCACCAGCCAGGCCCTCCAGCCCAGCCACGAGGAGAGCAGAGCTGTTCCGGGAATGCACGCAAGGGGACCAAGACCCTGAAGCACAGGGGCAGGGCAGAGGCAGAAGGGGGCACCCTGGCTCCCCTCTCTGAGGGCCCGCAGAGTCACCAAGACAGACGCCCTGTGGCTGGCAGACCCGGGCGTGGCTGAGGGTGCTCAGGCTGTGGCCCTGGTCACGTGCTGAGCCCGGCAGGGTGCCACTGAAGTGCAGCGTGGTGTGTTCCCCTCCAGGGGCGCCCACAGCCCACTTCTGCAAAGGCACGGAAGCCTGCCCCGCACTGCGGGCCTCTGCCTGGGCCTTCCCCGTCGCCCTGCCTAAAGGGGACTGGCTTCTGGGGCACCGCCTGTCCCTCCTGGCCCTCTCACCTGCCTGGCACCGGTGTCCAGTGAAGCCCGCGTGGCAATGGCAGGAGAACTCCGTGCCCAGGTCCTCGCAGGTACCCCCGTTGACACACGGGTTCCGGAAGCAGGGGGAGGGGGCTGCAGGAGTGCAGGAGGGTCCCTGTCACTTTGTCTTCCATGAGAGTCGCTGGACTGTGGCACACCCTGGTCCGGCCAGCTCTGCCTCCCACCCTCCAGCCCGGGCCAGCCCCACCTTGGGCCTGCTGTCCCTGTGCGGGGTTGGCCTGTCACCTTACCTGTCTCGCAGTGCCGCCCAGAGAAGCCCGGGGGACAGTCACACTTGTATTTGCCAATGTAGTGGAAGCAGGTACCGCCATTGTGACAGGGACCCGAGGCACAGGAGTCTGGCTTCCCTGGAGGGCCCAGGAACCCT